GGAGGAGAGCAAAGAACTTTAAAAGACAGAAATGCCTGAGATAAGAATGTAAAAATCTGAGGCTGGGTACATGCCCATAATCTCTCATGTGTAAACAAACAGTTAAATTTATGTCAGGGAGCAGCATGTTTAGTTTTCTGAAGAAGACATATTTCCCAGAAGGAATTACATAAATATTTATGAAAATGAAGCAGGAAATATTTTCCCAGGGTAGGACACTGTTCAGCACTGCATCAGGTCAGTAGAAGCTGGGGTTTATTTTGTCAGTCTTCCCCTGGAACTGAATCATTGCCCTCTTGTTTGCAAAAATCTGTTCTGACACAGGAAGAGGCTGCACTTAGATAAACACAGTTACAAGCCACACTGAGTATTTCATTTCTATCACATCTCTGACTACATATGTGAATGCCTTACATTTTTGGATAGCTTCTCTGAGCTGATTACATGAAAACAATAGCAATGAGTACCTCTTAGGCCTCTCTGAAACCCTGGTGCCATTATGTCAAAGGTGCCTTCAGTAGAACTGAAAGCCTGCAGATTAACAGAGAGAGAAGCATTCTCAATCCAAGTGTTCACAATAAAAGTGCTGATATATAAACATTCACAGTGAGCCAGGACATTCTTGCTAAGTGCAACAGTTAGAAACAAAAGGTTGTAATGCAGTGCTACCTGAGTGAGCAGAAGTTACACACAATTGAGGTCTGTTTACCAGATGAGGTACAGGGGTCAGTACTGCACCTCATAAAGCATCCAGCAGCTCTCTGAATCTGTGGTCTGCAAGCTGAGCTCCTTGTGAGAGCTCAGCGCTGACCAGCTGTTCTGTTCTCCTGTCTCACAGCAGATACACGCAGCTGGAACCCGTGTCAGCTTTTCTGTTTAGAGCTAAAAGCTGAAGAGAACAGGAGTGGGAAAGGGGAGGTAGGAACATCCCAAGAAGGGGCTGTAAGCTCTAGTGCAGACCTGAGTTCTCCAAGAGTGCCATCCCTGTGTCAGACAAGCTTACACCCATCCCTCAAGGTACCCAACTCAACAGAGAGCCAAACTCATCAGCAGGAAACCAGAGAGATCATAGCTGATAGTGGAGCATAAATTTCCACACAGCTGAGGCTGATTAAGCCTCTCAAACCTCCAGCAAGATGTTGGATGATATCTGTAATCACTGGAGTTCTACAAGCTCTGTTTACTAATCATAGAAGCCGTAAGATTTTGGACAATTTTGTCCTTAGGTTGGTTGTTTTTGTCGATTGTATTTTCAGGCATATCAGAATCTAGCCATCGCTTATATCTTAATTAGAATAAAAACAAGTGGTGGAGACTGTGTTTACAGGCCCAGGTAGCCATTGCATGGTGTCTAAACCAAAAATGGCACTTTACAAAATAGCCCTAGGATTACTTTCCTCCCTACACATTGCAAACCAAATACTCTGCCCTTCCTTTTCCACTTTTTCCAAGCTTTGCCACCTTGATTGGTGTATCCAGCATGACAGAATGAAACACCCCAAATCATCATGACCCCTGACACGAGAAGAGAAACCATCTAGGATCCCAAATCAAAGAAATATTCCACCTTTTTGTTTTTTTTTCTTCAGGTGCTCCCAAGTTTATTCAGTACAGTAAGGTACAGAAGGGGAATGTTCTCCTTAATGCTGAATTTGGGTCAGAAAGTATGCCAGCACACTCTCAAAACTCATGGCTGAATCAGCCCATGGTTACAAGCAGGATACATTAACCTGCAGTCCAGCCACAGGATCTGTGACTCTGGAAATGATGAAAATTGGCTGTAGATCTGGCCACCTTTTGATGAACAATATTTCAGCATGTTGTCTGTGCTCCTTACAGGTTGTTTACATTTAACTACTAACATCTGAGGAGTGAGCAAATCTCCAAGGAAGTTACTTGGACTCCAAATAGACAATGCACAAGACAAAGTTACCTGACTAGTGCTCATCTCAAAGAACAGAATCTTTCTGGATATTTTTTGTGCCTTTTCAGGGTTTCCTTGTAAACATTCATGCTCTTGGAAGCATTTGTTTTGTGTTGTGGTGAACTCTCTGTGTTTGGAGACACAAGGCTTGACTTCATTTTCTCAGAAGGCTGATTTATTATGTTATATATTATACTAAAATACTACATTAAAACTATACTAAAGGAACAGAGAGAAAAGATGATCAGAAGGCTACAAAGAACAAGAATACAATAGAATGCATAACAAAATCCTGTGACTGCTCACAGCCCTGGCACAGGTGGCTGTGATTGGTCATCAATTGAAAATGATCCACATGGACCAATGGAAGATGCACCTGTTGCATTCCACAGCAGCAGGTAGTTATTGTTTACATTTCTTTCCTGAGGCTTCCAGCTCCTCAGGAGGGAAAAAATCCTAGGAAAGGATTTTTAATAAAATATCATAGCTACAGTTTTGTGACTTTTGTGTCTGGATGATGTGGCCTAGTTAGTTTTTCTTCCTTGCCTTCAGTCATTTCTTTAAGCCTGATTCAATGAGAATTAACATGCACAATAGGCACTCTGCTTCATTAAATCTCCATCAGCAATGGAGCTGCTTGAAGATTTTTCAGTGACGCTGGTTTGATAAATATTGATTTGCCAAAACCCAAGCTTTTTGTGGTAGTACATCAGTTTTGATGGACTGCCTGTTAAGGCAGGTTTTCTAGCTCCAGGACAGCATTCCTGGTGCAACACATAGGAGGACATAACTTATTAGCACACACCCTTGTAATAAAGCAATATAACCTTAGGGCTCTACTGCAAGCACTGGTTTGAACTAGGCAGAGAAATAATTAAAATCTGGATCTACTACATTTTGAGTAAGTGTTTTCATTTTCCAAGTTTTCATATCCATGAAATCTAATTTCACACAGTATTTTCAGGGGGCTTGTGACTGTCAGGGAAGGGTGGGGGTGGGAGGTGGGGGTCGGGGAAGAGTAGAGTCTTGATTTATTTTCTAAAGTGGACTGAAAACATTTGTAAATGATCACACCACTGGCAGAAAAATGTTCCCTGCTTAGTCCCGGATAGTAACTAAAGTAGTTAAACAAATTATTTCCTCTCTCACTTACACTTTACCCCTCTTTATCCCTGATAAATAACAAACAAGTCACTGTAAGTCTCTCAGTACCATGGAACAGATAGCATCATTCATGTCAGTTTGGCAACATTTCCCAAAATGCCTCCTCCAACCCTAAGTACACTAGCTTCCCACTCCTACGCTCTCTATTCTTGCTCTTACATTGACCTTCTGCTCACAAAATGGAAAGTGAAGAGAAGAAAAAGTTAAATAAAACAGATTAACAGTGTACAAGTCAGAGGCACAGTGCCCAATGCAAATCACAGAGGAACAAGTTTATTTCTGGTACGACTCTACTCAACTGTAGTCCCGGCTTTGTCTTTCCTCCCCTTCTAGCTGTGTGTACCCATTATCAAGGCCACATTTGAGGGGTTATGTTAGATGACATTCTTTAGGACAGAAACCACTATTTATTTCTGAAGACCACTGTACACAGTTTAACAGAAAAAAAAAAAAAAAAGGTGTTTTGGAAAGGGGGACAGTCTGTGAGCAGGCTAGAAAGAAAAAGGGAGAGGAGTATCTTGACCCTTCTTGGGACTTTGGCCAACATTTTATCACAGATGAAAGCCTGAAGTCAGAGCCTTCCTTCAGACTTTAAGTAAAGGTGTTTGCTTTTACATCAGTACTGCTGCTTATTCTGTATGCCCAAAGGCAGAAACATAGGACTAGGGAACCAAATACTCTCTTAAATAATGAGGAAAGCCTTTCAAAAGCTATTAACATAGGAAATGTGTTTTTTCCTAAGATGGAAAGCAAACACCCTCTCACACACAACATAGCTCAAAAGCCTAGTTCAGCTTTTTTAGTAGCTGTCTCATTGTGTGAGAAACCAGAAGTCAACAAAATTCCTGGAAATATTACAAATAGTCATCTCCCCTTTCTTTTCTGCCAGGCTGCCTTGAACATCCTCCTATCCCTGGTTAGTGTGCTCTCCTTAAGAGAAAGGTAGAGTTTTTTCTAAAAGGGATTGCACACAGGTAGGTACTTCCAAAAGGAAGGATGCATGCAACCTGTTCCTCCACCCAAGAGACCTCCTACACTGGTTTCAGGGTCCCAGCACCCAGCTGAACACCTGAAGGTTACCTCAGGATTCGAGCCAGCTGGAGTTTCCTCTGGACAAGCCAAAGATAACATTCTGTTGGGATCTATGCTACACCACTGCCCCAATGTGTGGCCTCTCCCAGTGCATGGAAAGAGTGATATGGGAGAAGGTGATGCAGTTATCCAAGCTCATCTTGTTATGTATCTTCTGTCCTGGAGTTTGTCACTTCTGTTCTCTGTCTACCAACATGATCTGGGCTTGGGGCTTGCACTGTGGAGATATCTATAAGCATAAACCCATCATTTGTGGGTTTCAGGCTAAAACACCCATGGATAATGTCAACTTTTCATTTGCTACTCTGGGGGCTGTGGGTACCTGGCATCCAAAAGGTGAAATATAGCACTGGGGATTTCCACCCACAGTGGACTGGCAGCTCGTCTGCTGTCACTAACAGTCTCCTTGGTAGAAAGCTTTTATGGAAAAGTATCTCTACATGTTGTATGCAGTCTGCATTACTCTTCCCACACAACCAGCCAAATGTATCCTACAACTAATTAGTACACACTTGGATACAATACCAAAGTCTTTTGTCCCTTGAGTAAGTGAAATGCTGGGCATGAAGAATCAGTATCGAGAGGCAAAAAAGTTGCAAGAGAGATATTCCCATATGTTGGAGAAATTTTCCATGGCAAAAGCAGCTAAATGTCTCACTCAGATAAGAGATAAATTGGAATAAACAGCTGTCAGTGTTAAATAAATATCCTGGATAATGTGCAGGACAGAAATAACTACAGCATTGTCAAACTCCTTTCTTCACTTTATTTAGCTGCTCTTGCATGTAGCTCCCAAGCTTTCCACTGCTCCAGTTAGTGAAGCATTTATTTTTGAGTCAGCTGCATTTCTTAAGACTGTAACAACGAAAGGCATTTCCTGAGAAACTCCAAGGATGAGCAGCAAGAAAGAACAACAGCTAACGAAATATGGGACCCTTGTAGTGTTTTTTATCCTGCAAGTTCAGATTTTTGGTTTTGATGTTGATAATCGACCCACAACAGATGTCTGCTCTACACACACAATTTTACCTGGACCAAAAGGTGAGGAATTATCAGGTTGCTAATGCTGAGACCAGTACTTATAAAGGCTGGTTTTTTTATCAATAGAGACTTGGAGGGCTTGTGGCATGGGCTGGGCAAGATGTGAAATATTGCAGGCTGTACAAACATCTAGTAAACTGTAGCTGTAATGGGGGAAAATGAAGAAGCAAGGACATTTAAATTTTCATTTCTTTAGTTTCTGGTACAGTGTCACGTATTTTCATATAAGTTAGAGGTGTCTTTTTGCATCTTCCTTCACCTACACAAATCTTCTGTTATTTCTTGTGCTCATCACACAATAAAAACAGCTAACAGATACAAACTGAGGGACTTGTTTAAAAGTGGGCATGTATTGTGAACTGTTAATGGTCTGCTTTGCATCTACAGATTGGGAGAGATATACAATATTTAAATTACCAAACTGCCATTATTTTCAAATATTTATTTGTAAATACATCTCTATGACATTCATCAGACCTGATCCAGTAGCTCTTGTTGAATCTAACGGGACCTTTGCTAGAGATTTAACAATTACTAGATCAACTCTGGCATGCACAGGTCTTTTATCTTTAAAATACTTTGCAAATATCTGAAACCAAATTTTCTGCATTAACTTACTTTTTCTGTAAGACAACTAACATCAGTGGAATTGCCTGAAGGGTATCTTATTAGGTCCCTGACATACAAATCTATCTTGCAGTGACAGATCTAAAATATATATTCCACACCATGGCTATTGCAGTTTCAAACTATTGCTTTCTTTTTAGTAATTCATTGTATTTTTCTATATGCTACAGACTGAGAGGGAAAAAATGCAGCTGATTTAAATTTAAAACAGAAAAATATTATCAAGTCAAGAGCACTGCTACAGACTCATTTGTTTTTATGATGGATTATTCAAATGCATGTTGCTTAAAGGACCATTTTTAATCAGGAAATTAATTTCTTTATGATTACAATCCAAGCTTAATTTTTTGCTGCCACAGCATATATGCAGAGAGATGTAATGATCCCCAAGGGAGCTAGTGGGTGTTGGTTTAGTTAGTATCTAAGTAATGGCAGGATGGAGAACAAAGTTTGACAGAATTGTGTTTAACAAGTCACAAGGCTAATGAGGGGGTCTCATGACAGCACAGAGTAGCTGGGACTCCAGCTGGCTTCTGTGGCCTACCTTGTATAGGGAGCATTTGAAGGGTAGATGTTATTATTCTTTGTAAGTGCAGTACTGAGAAAATCAGGATTTAGTATTACCAGTCCTATTTTTCCTGGCTGACATCAAGACACAAGATGAGACCAGCAGTTTATTGGCACAGCTCAGTCTACTACTTTAGATCACCATCCCCAAGATCCATGATTGGTAGAAGGAGTATTGAGTATAAATCACCTCAAAATTACAAGTTCATATCCACTGCAGGTCAGCAAATACATTTTGGAGACTATGTGATATGATCCTATAAGATTAATTTCAGCTCCTACCAGAGCTGAGCTCATCCAGGACAGTTACAAGTAGTCCTTAATAGCACTGGTTGTTTTAACTTCCAGTCATCTGGGCAAAGAAAGACCAAGCAGGCTGAGTGTATGAACTACCCTGTTACTACTCAGGCATCCCTTGTAGCCAAGGATGAAACATGCTTACCTAATATGCCAGAAGAAATGTCCTGCTGTCAGTTTTCCTTCATCCATCTTATGTGTATGACTCAGAGCACATGATCCCAAGTTTATGACCACAGCCACAGGCAGAACTTTACTGTTTAAACTCTAAGCTTGATAATGGACAAGCCTCTGACTTTTGCTGCTGTAGTTTTTTCTCCCTGTGCTACACCTCTTTTGTCCCTTTGCTCACTGTTCTCTTAAAAATGGGTTTTGACTCATCCTAAACAAGTTTTACCCCGTCACCTCCACCTGTTCAGCATCTCAGCTATGGAAAAACAGGGTGGTGCTCCCAGAAGACAGAGGTGCTGATCTCACACACTACTTTGACCAGCTGTTTCTACCACTACAGGTTACATTCCTGTTGTGGCAACTTCCTCCTTCCATGAGAACATGGAAGTGACTAATGGGCCAAAGCAACTAGAAATGCAAGGAATGAAAAGGTATTCAATAGTTGTAAGGCTTCCTACTCTTGTTCCACCTCGCCTATCCCAGTGCAAGGCATAAATTGTTATAGGCTAGATCCAGTCTGTGTGCTCCAAGTGGGATGGAGCCCGGTGCTGTGCAGCAGAGACAGATGCTGCTGTTTCCATCCCACAGTACAGCGGAGAGTAGAGCACTGAGGGAGAAGTGGGGGTTTGGAGAATTCAGAATTTATAACTCTTTATTGCCTGCACTATTGGAGGCTGCATGACTCAATCCTCTAGGCATTCACAGTTGCTACAGGAACAAGCTCTCAACCTCTTCACATGCTCACCCTGAAAATCACCTGTTCAAGATGGGTTGTGAAGACAGGCCACTTACACAATCCACATGTAACTTGTCCAAGTTACTTTGTGCACGCCATATTCTTCCTCTTCAAAAACATCTCTATGTTATGCTCATACCTGAGATGTCACAAGATCAGTATGACATGAGCAATGGGATAAAAAAAAAGGGTAATTTCAGGCTGATTACCAGAAAAGTCTGCAAACCACCTGTGACAGCCCCACCAACTCCCAGAAAACATGAAGCAAAACCAGAGGCCATTGTGTACAACAGTAAGAGCTAGAAAATACTCTGCAAGACTGCAGTCTCCCAGGAAGAGAAGGAATGCAGTGGATGTCCTGTCAGGTTTGCAGGTTGCGCTGCAAAGACAGCAGTGTGTCTGAGCTCCAGTGCCCGGTGCAGTGAACCCCACAGGCTTCAGCCCCACCTCTGGAGCTCACACGGGGCTCTCCAGGTGCTGCTGTCCCCCCCAGCTGCTGGTTCCCCTCACTGGGGCAAGCAAATGAAACCTGAAGCCTGTTTGCCAAGAATTATGCAATGCAATTTATCAAATTTTTTCCAGAAAAGCAGAAAATTAAAAAGAAGAGAGAGGCAGAAGTTGTCACTCGTCTCCATTTCCTTTTCTAGGCAACACTCAGGTCTCTTCTCAAAAAGAGGGGATTATTTTAAATGAAAAGACTCTACTGCAATGGCTGCCTTGTACTGCCTTCCTGAAAAAAGATTTGAGGTACACAGCCAGCTGGCTTATATGGCAGTAAAGAACAGAAATGTGTGAGGCATTTTCTAGGATTCTTCTTGAAATACCCTAGGAACACCCCTGCCCCTCTTATCCCCTCTTATGCCCTGCCCCTGCCTATTAAAAAAAAAAAAAAAAAAAAAAAAAAAAAAAAAAAAAAGAGATTTTCTGTGTTTGTAACTAGTGATTTTTGATGTTTGACCCAAGAAAGATGTTAGGGACAACCTGGTCCTAGCTGGGCAGTTGTGGCACAGAAACTCTGAAAACTTACATCAGCTGACACTGATTCACAGCTGAGTAACTGGGGCAATAATGATCGTGTTCTGTACTTCATTGACTTCTTGAGTTCAAAGAGAACCAAGAAATGAAGTATAAATGAAACAATGAATTTTCCAGGGCAGCTAGGTTCTTGGCCTAGCAAAAGTAGTCATGGCTCTATTGCTTACTTTCTACCATTCCAAGCCTGGAAGCAAAGCAGGCTGGCTGCTGAGGAAGGGGACTGTGGGGAGGCAGCAGCTAACAGTGAGAGCAAAGGCACAGCTGGTGTGGCCCTGGCAGCACCAGGAGGCTCAGGCTCTGCTCCCCTGCACTCTGCCTTTGAGGGGTGTCCCAGCTCAGTCCTTTCTTCCAGCCTGCTCTCCCCTGGAGACTGCAAGCTCTGATCTGCAAAGGAAGTTTTAAGTGGGCTGTTGACATAGATGAGACAGAAGTTGACCTGTTGCGAGTAAATCAATAACATGAGGGTAGAAACAAGCAGAGGACAACCAAAAACTCTGACTTCTGAACTCCCATTAAATATGTGAGCAGGGGCTGGCTTCACATGGATTCATGGGCTCTCAGCACTTCAGAAGAACTGGCTCTAGATCGTGCTATCTGTCCCTGATCCCAGTTCATTTTCTTTGAAATCCAAACACAAGAACTTTAAAGTCTTGAATCAGATCCAGGTTGAGAAACTGGAATAAGATGAAATCTGAAGAGCACTGGGAGTTTCCCATAGCAGTTTAGATGTAAAATGTTTCTTTATCATTATTTCTGACAAATGATGCTTTTAAACTCTGTGACATTGGCTGGTACCTCAAAATAGCATTTACTGTGGTCACCAGTATAGCTGTCCATCTCTCAGCTTTAATTGTGCTTACGCAGTTCCACTCCTGGAAAATCTCAAACTCTTTCAGAAACCAGATACGCTGCTATCCACGTTGCCTTCCAAAAATATAAAATGCTTTACCACATCCTATAGCTGTTCAAATCTATAACTAAATTTCCCTCTTAGTGCCTCATTTTTGATCTGAAGAGTCCTTTAATTTCAACACATAATTCTATTTTTCATGGCTTCCAGAATTCCTTGTTTTAGCACACAGTAAATTTCTGGAAATTATCAGCCTGAGCTACAAAGCTCAGGGGACTTAAAAACATAAATTCAAGAGATAGAGGGTCTGTATTTCTCACCAATGGCAGTCTGATTCCTCACTGAAGCCACCATAATTCATGGGTCTCTGAGATCATGTCAGAATGGCAGCGCAAGAGGCTGGGAAAATCACATCAGGCAGACCAAGTAAAAGGAGAATCAAGAATGATTGAAATTATTTCTGTGTTATTAAATAAATAATGTATATTCCATTCTTGCAAAAGGTCCACATTTTCAAATAGTACAAGTCAGCAGAGGTTCACTGAGCCTACTGAAGGCTTGGGTATGCCTCATGCAATGAAATATGAGAGGAGGGTATTTCTAATGAAGTCAAATTTATAAGTAGAAAAGCAATCACAGAATACATTTTTTTTTTTCTTGAAGATTCTTTTTATTTTACAAGGGAAGGGCTTGTATTGTCTAATTTGAACCTGGGTG